ATCACTTTAACAAGTGAGTGCGTAGTTACTTTCATCTTACACATAGATATGAAGTATTTTATATAAATTACGTGCTATGTGTGCATATTATTTGAATACTTGCTTCCTATGCCGGATGAACGATTTTATACATGTTTTAAATAATTTACTCTGTATATGTATTTTATATCTACGAATATGTTGGGATAAACATGGGTAGATGAATGATGAGAGATGAAAGATGATATGAGTGAACGTTGGCAGCTATAGACTTAGTGCCTAACAAATAACATCAGCAGCTATGGACTTAGTGCCTATCGATTAAACGTTGGTAGCTATGGACTTAGTACCTATTAGATAAACGTTGGCAGCTATAGACTTAGTGCCTAACAAATAACATCGGCATCTATGGACTTAGTGCCTATCGAATAAACGTTGGTAGCTATGGACTTAGTACCTGTTAGATAAACGTTGGTAGATATGGACTTAGTACCTATTAGATAAACACTGGTAGCTATGGATTTAATACCCGATGAATGAACTTTAGCAGCTATGGAATTAGTGCTTTACGAACGACCATTGGCAGCTATGGACTTAGTGTCTGTCATATAATCCCTGAAAGCAATGGACTTCGGAATGAACGCATGCAGGATAGACGACTCTTAGGGTAGACCTTAAGAGTAAGGAAGATAATGGGGATGGGTAATTGGGTTGATTGTTTGATGTTTAAACATAATAATTAAATTATTGTGGGTTGAAAACCCTATGTACTCACCAGGTTTCCCAACCTGACCCACTCAAGCTTATTTGTATCACAGGTGTCGATATGAAGCTACTTTACACTGAGGGATTTAAAAGAGATGTAGATCACTAGTGTAAATGAATGTAAGATCTGTTTATGCTTATGTTTCTGTATTGCCGATGACATCTCAAATGTTTTAAAATGGATAAAATACATTTCTTCGGAAATGCTTTGATAACGTATTTATCATGTTTTTCTGGGAACAAATTCTGCAACGTTTTTATTAAAAGATGTACTCTGATTTTTATAAACCATAAACAAAATCGGTCTTTTCTGGCCGTGAAAGTGGGGATGTCACAGAACACTTCCCAAAATCTGTGGCTTAACCTTATTGCCTAGGGTATGATGTAATCAGATTTGGGACAATACAAGAAAGACATATAATTTGGATTTCATGCAAAATTTAAGATTCGAACAAAGAGATGTAATCTAGATTTCATGCAAAATCTAAGATTCAAACATAAAGTACCTTGCTTTGTTTAGTATTCTTTTAGACAACAATTGTGCATAGTAACGTTCAGAGGCGAATTTACATACAACTATGGTGGGTCACTTGACCCACCTTTTTTTTAACAAGTTATATATACTATTTTTTAGTGACCTACCATATAAAAATTAAATGAACCACCTTATTATTTTTGGTAAAGAAAAAAAATATTCATTTTGGGAATTGGGAATTTGGGAATTGGGAATTTGGGATATCCTACGTAGCCAGTAGCCACACAACACAATAGGTAAATATTCATTTTTTTCTAAACAATAAAATATGAAGGTCCAATTCCTTTTTCATCTAAAACCACAATATGAGTAATGATAATTTTTATTCACTGTTTGGCCGTTCAAATGTATATAATTTAGTTTTTTTTTAATAATATATATTGTTTCATACTCTTAATACTCTTAATGTGATATGATTATTTGATTGTTGTTAATTTGTTTGATTATTTGATTGTTGTTTCTTTTAGAAATTAAAATCAAGGATGTCTTTATTCAAGTTTTTTCAAAAGAATGATAAAAAAACAGTTGAAGACGATAATGAGCAACATAAGCATATGAGAGTTGATTTAAGTTCACTACCTGTTGATCCGGCAGAACGACCGGGTATGGAATGCTATCATGTGAATCAAAGAGATGAAATTAGAAGGGCATACTTGCAAAAAGGTCCTTTCCAACCTCAAAACTACAAGTTTCCACAACGTGCTTTTGGAGGTAAACAACGAAGATTCAATATATATTGGTTTGATGACAACAAATATTGGTTAGAATATAGTATAAAAGAGAACGTCGCCTTTTGCTTATGTTGTTATCTATTCAAATCCGATATACCAAACCAAGGTGGATCAGATCATTTTGTGAAATCTGGATTCAAAGCTTGGAATAGGAAATCAGGACTAGATGATCATAAAGCTGGAACTCTACACAATATTACTGTCCAAAAGTGTCAAAATTTAATGAACCAAAGGCAATCCATAACATCTGCTTTTGAGAAACAAACCACTTTACAAGAAAAAGAATATCGTACCCGTTTGAATGCTTCAATTAATTGTGTTAGATTCCTATTGCATCAAGGATTAGCATTTCGTGGTCATGACGAGAAGGACGACTCAGATAATAAAGGTAACTTTTACAATGGTTAGCCGATCGATGTGATGTGGTAGATCGTGTTGTATTAAAGAATGCTCCAAAAAATACACAATTGAAATGCAGTGATATCCAAAAAGATATCGTGCAGGCATGTTCAGATGCAGTTATGAATGTTATTAAGGAAGATCTTGGAAAAGATTTTTTTGCAATTCTAGTAGACGAGTCACGTGATGTTTCTTGTAAAGAACAATTGGCATTAGTATTGAGGTTTGTAAATAAAAAAGGGTCGGGAAGTTGTAGAAAGGTTTGTTGGCCTTAGACATGTTAGTGACACTTCAGCTTTGACACTAAAGGCTACCATTTATGATATGATCTCAAAGTGGAATTTGAGTCCTACTAGCAGTAGAGGGAAAGGCTATGATGGTGCTAGTAACATGAGTGGTGCATTTAATGGATTGAAGACTTTGATTATGAATGAAACAAAATTTGCATACTTTATTCATTGTTTTGCTCACCAGTTACAATTAGCCCTAGTGTTTGTTGCAAAAAATCACACGAAGGTTAATGATTTATTTGATGCGGTTTCGCGGCTATTAAACATTATTGGATCTTCTTACAAGCGACGGGATAATTTAAGAAAAAAACAAGCAGATAAAGTTATGGAAGCATTGGTTGAAGGTTTGCTTTATAATTGTACTAAATTTATTATTAAAATATTTTGTATTTATGTTATGCTAATTAATTATTTATATGGTAAATTTTAGGTGAACTTGAGAGTGGTACCGGTTTGAATCAAGAAGTGGGTATCAAACGACCATCTGATACTCGATGGGGTTCTCATTTTTCATCTCTACTGAATATCAAGAACATATATCCCTCCATTTGTGAAGTACTTGAAGACCTTGGTAAAGATAATAGTGATCGTGATCGTAAAGCTGAAGCAATTCGCATCTTAAGGTTATTAAAGTCCTTTGATTTTGTGTTTTGTCTACACTTGATGGTTGATATCTTGGGAGTCACAAATCATTTGAATACAACATTACAAAGAAAATATCAAGATATCGTAAATGCCACGAATCAAGTAAGTAGCTCTAAAAAAGCAATTCAAGAAATTAGAGATTTAGGATGAGAACCACTTTTAGGGAATGTTACTTTATTTTGTGATAAACACGATGTTAGAATCGTGGATATGGAAGATGAATATTATGACGGATTAAGTCGTCGAAGAGGTTCACATGTTAGTAACGTTTGATATTACCAACTTGATTTATTTATTGTGTTTTCTCATTTGTATATTAAAGATTCATTTTATTTTCAGGTTAATAACTTGCACCACTATCATGTTGATGTATTTAAGGCGGTGATTGATATGCAACTTCAAGAGCTTAACCATCGCTTTAATGAAGCCAACACGAAATTACTTCTTTGCATAGCTTGTTTGTGCCCACGTGAGTCTTTCAAAGCATTTGATTTGGATAAACTAATGGAAATGGCTACACTTTATCAGGAAGAGTTTCGAACAGAATATGATCTTCAAATTCTTGAAGTTGAACTTAAAAATTACATTAAGGATGTGCGAGAAGATGAAAGATTCAATCAATTGAAGAACATTGGGGAACTTGCCAAAAAGATGGTCGAAGTACAGAAGCATATAATATATATCCCAAGGTTTATATTCTCTTGAAACTTGCATTGATCTTACCCGTTGCAACAGCAGTGTGGAACGCGCATTTTCAGCAATGAAGTTGGTAAAGACTGATGTATGAAACAAAATGGGTGATCAATTTTTAAGTGATAGTTTGGTGTCATATATTGAAAAAAATGTTTTAGGAAGTATTAGTAATGAAAGGATTGTGAAATTGTATCAAGCTATAAGACCTCGTCAGGTACAATTGTAATAACTTTAAATCTTTTTTTTTTTAATTATATAACTCAACCCGATCCGAACCCGCAATAGATTTTTTTTTATATATATTTTTGTCTATTTAATTTGAATAGTGAACCATGTGGTTTTAGGTTCTAGACTTGCCACTGATAACGTTAAGAGAAGATTATATCTTTGCAACAATCGAACTTGACGATATATAGAAACGATAGCTTTTTTCGGTTACAATAAGAGGGAAAGTCTCGTTATTCTCAACAGGTGAGACAATTAGGTTTTTGGCAGGTCTTCAACTGTCGAGTATATTGTTTACATATGGAACCGGTTTCGAGTCTCGACATTGTCCTGCACCTCGCAAGACCACCACCAGGGGATATGCCACTTAGAACCCAACAGGGTGTTGGTTCCGAGATTACTTTAGTTTATCTGTGTGTGCACTCCCACGCCTTCAAACCCGTATTATAGCTTAAGTTGAACTCAACTTGTTTTGAATAAATTTCGATCATATTAAATGGTTATGACACTAAAATTACTAACAAAGATAAATCATTTTAAAATGTATGAAAACAACTTTACTTCTAAGTTTTGTATCTTATACCTCTTAAAATTCATTCAAGATATGACTAATATGTTCTATAATATAATAATATAAGATATTATTTAATTTTAATTGATAGTTTTAGTTATTTTTGAATATATGGATGAACAATATATTATTTCAATTTTCAAATAAAATAAAACTTATGGAATGACCAAAAAAACTGAAACGTGCGCTTCATGACTGGATTCGCATCTTACTTCCAGTCTCCAGATAGAAACAGCTCCTCCTCTTCTCCCCCCAAATTTTCTCTCTCTAGATTCCATCTCCCACACTCATAACTCCCACTTTTGCTCTTGATTTCTTCCTAAATTTGCTGCCATTGAAGTGTCATGTACGTGTTTTGCTTCTGAATTAACCCCACTTTTGCAGAAATTGATCAGACGCACCGTTTATTCAAAAAATCTAGAGAACTAAAGCTTATTTTGGATCATCAAAATGGGTTCGTCCTCAGGTCAGTACGATCTGTCGTTTAAGATCTTACTGATCGGAGATTCCGGTGTCGGCAAAAGTAGTCTGCTCGTCAGTTTCATTTCTGGCTCCGTCGACGATCTAGCTCCTACAATCGGTAATTTTAATCAAGTCCTACTATGATTGATTCACGGGATTTTCCCAATTTTATTTTGAAATTCACGAACACTTATTTCCTCTATTGAATTAACGTAACTTAGGTGCTTATATTCATAAATTTTCTTTTCGTGTATATATTAGCACTTCGATATGTTGATTTTTTGTCAATTAGAAGTATTTCAAAGGTAAATTACCAAAAATGTAGGTTCATCTATGATCTATGCTTCCGAATGTGGAACAATAGAGCTTGAATTTGATGTGAAACCTAGTATTTCCCTGGGCAAAAGTAGTAATAATTGCTATCTTTTCTGAGATCCCAACAATAATAGAATCAATAACTTCCACGACGTTAGGAATCACATCGATCTCAAGTTAGAAGTGTGACAATTTTGACTTCTAAAGTCAAAATTAACCTCTTTCGTTTGTATTTGATGATAATTTTAATCTGTGATTGTTGAACAGGTGTTGACTTCAAAATCAAGCAGCTTACAGTTGATGGGAAAAGATTAAAACTTACAATTTGGGACACAGGTAAACATCAACAATAAATCAATAAGTTGATAAAATAGAATGCACGTGTTTTCTTGTTTATGTTATTTCTTAAAAAATAATAATAATAGCTTATTTGTAACATAAAATCTTATTTATGTTTACACATTTAATTAGGAAATGCATTTTCAAAATAACAAATTCTATAATAATCTTGCGACATTGTAAAAAACTCATCAGAAAATGAAAATAAAATATAATATATCACAATTAATATCGGCAAAATAAACATTTAATTCCTTAGTACACTTGTAGCCTTGTAGGACCAAATGTTAAAAACACAAAATTGATATCTTTAAATCCGGCTGCTAAAGAAATAATAGATAACAATTTCAGCCACTATATTTCAGTTATGTCAATAAAAATGATATGTCGACCACTTTAACATGCTATATAAAAAAGAATTATCAAACTTCATCAATGAAACTAAAATATAATTGTTAAACTATAAATATTTATAAAAAGAAAGTGGCATTTATGTATTTTTCCCAATGAATTAACCTATTCATGATATGTTTATTTTTTTTTGAGTAATGATTTGTTTGCATGTATTAAGACTATATATGGCATATTACAGCGATCTTAATTTTCGAAAGTCATATTTGACAAATCAAAAACTAGCTTATCAGTTAGCTTTTTAAAAAACTATTCATACTAATATTTCAACGAGCTTATTGAAATTATTTAAAATTTCCCCCAAATATACGCATTATTAGTTATATAAAAAACTCAATTCTTTGCATGTCCTTCTATATCATTTTATATATTTCAAGTAGGTTTACTAACACGTTTTGATTAGCTAGCTTTTAAGCTATCATAGTTGTCTGACAACATGATTTTTCTTTTTATCAAAACTTAAGGTGGTTTTCATTGACAAAACTAAAATACAATACAATAGTTAAACCACAAAAAATGACAAAAAGAAAGTGGGTTTTATGTATTTTACTTTATAGATTAACCTACTCATAATAAAAGACATGTTTATTATCTTGAGGAATGATTTGCTTACATTCATCAAGTAATCTTTGGACTTTTTCTATGTTTGTTGCTCAGCTGGGCAGGAGAGATTCAGGACATTGACAAGCTCTTACTACAGAGGTGCCCAAGGGATTATTCTTGGTATATTTACAAATTACACCCTAAACTCTCATATTATATACAATCATATATATACAAACTCATGCAACAATTTTTTCTAACTTATGTATCAAAACTATAGTGTACGATGTTACAAAAAGAGAAACCTTCACCAATTTGTCTGAAATATGGGCTAATGAAGTGAATCTTCACTCCACTAATCAAGATTGTGTCAAAATGCTAGTTGGAAACAAAGTCGACAAAGTAAGCCCTTCCTTCTCTTTCAATACTTAATATGCTTCAACGAGTTTATTAATTTTTTAAAAAAAATTATTCGATTAATACAGGACTCTGAAAGATTTGTAACCAGGGAAGAAGGTGAAGTTCTTGCAAAAGAACTTGGTTGTTTGTTTTTCGAATGTAGTGCTACAACTCAGAAAAATGTACATCAATGTTTTGAAGAGCTTGCCTTAAAGGTAAAAACATTAATTTATATATATATATATATATATATATATATATATATATATATATATATTGACAAAATGGATTGTTTTAACATTTTATATGATATTATTATGATAGATAATGGAGATTCCAGGACTTTTGGAAGAAGGGTCTACAGTGGTGAAGAGAAACATTATTAAGCAAAAACCAGAGCACAACAACTCTAATGGTGGATGTTGCTCATAAAAGAAAAAAACATAAATGTAAAAATCTACCATTTTTATTCGGGTAATAAGGCTTGTGTAAAGATGTTTGCCTTAAATTCCTATTGTTGTGACATCTTTATAATGCTTTGTAAATACTCTTTCTGTGGTATGTTGGAATTAGTGTTTGGTATTCCCAAAATTTGAAAATAAAATTCCGGAGTATAACTCTACTAAAAAAAATCCACTTAATCATACAATGTTTTGGGAATGAAAGACAAAAATACCCTCTAGCAAAAAACCAAATCAATAATTTAAAATGTTACCATTACATTTTATGAAGCCATTGCAGAGTGTAAAACATTCCAAGCTCCTGTATCCACCTCAGCTAGCTCTCCTGGTTTCTGTAAAGTTTCAACATATAAAAAAATAAAAAAATAATAAATAAATAAAACACAATAACATCAAACACAAACCTTTCCATACACATTTGTCTTGGTAGGTGAAGCCCCAATTGAAAGCAACAATCCAACAATTTCTTCATGTTCACCTCTAGCAGCATGATGAAGAGGCTACACATTACACATTACACATTGTTATACAAACATCAAATTAAAAATTCAAAAAGATACATTTCTATTTTCTAGGATTAATTTGTGCAATTGATGATGATGCACTTACAGTGTCACCTTCTACATCAACTGATTCAAGCATTCTCTTTAAACAATCACGAGAATCGGCTTTACCAATCAAGAGTTGAACTATTTCCAAATACCCTAAAATGAAAAAGTCGGGAGAAATTTTAGGCATGAATCTATTTATTAGGTAAAAGGTTATGGATTTCTTTCTAAATTACCTCCAGCACAAGCATCATGAAGAGGAATCCCACCATCTTCATCCTTAGCCTCTACTGAAGCTCCTCTTTCCAACAATAGCTACATGAACAAGATAACACTCATGATTATTAGTCAACAATCTATAAAATAGTGACAAAATTGGTAATTTGAGTTGAGATGCTGTGAAGATATGAAGATATGAAGAGATGGAAACTCACTTGAACACAAGATAAATGGCCATAGAGGCAGGTGAGATGAAGAGCAGTATCACCATCTTCAACTGGTTCATCGATGCTTCCATCCAAATTATCTATTTTTTGTTGATGATGAACATCGAAAATTATGTTAGTTTAGAGCAGAATACTCAAATTCTATATCGATTAGATTTGTTTAAGATAATAATTTCATGTTATAAAATTTTCCCCAATCAAGCCATGGAAAGAAATAATCGAATAATAACATTCTCCTCCTTCAACAAACAATTGATTATCAATTCGCCAAAAGAAACCTAATCAAGCATCTGAATCATATGAAGGAAAATAAAGAGATAAATATGAGATGATGAAATACCAAGAGCTTGACGAAGTGCATCAACGTTGCCATGTTTGGCGGCGGCGGCGAGGTCGCCGAGGTGGGGAGGGGTGTCTTCGAAATCAGATTCCGGCAACGCGTCTTCTTCTAAGATGAGGATTCCGTCTTCTTCGTCGTCGTCGTCCATCATGCCGTTGCGCCTTCCCGGTACCGCCATATTCCGCCGGTGAATGTTAAAACCCCAGAAGAAAGAAAGAAGGTTTGCGCAGAAGAGAAGTTTGAAAAGGGTGGAAGGGAACACGAGAATATATTTGTTGGGAAGTTGCAATAAAGACCCTCTATATTCATGGGAAGCATAAAAGGTCCTCCAACTATTTTCAAACAAATATTGTGTTCTTAGGATGACTTCTTTTGAGCAAACATCTTATGGGGTTTATTTATTTATAGTTATTTGCAAACACGGGATAATATTAATAGTATACAAATACAATGTAGCATGGCATTTATGAAGACTTCAACGATTTCACATGCATTATAATGCAGGGAAAATGACATAAAAGCCCTTAAGTTTTCATAAAAATGTCGGTTTTACCTTTGGACGTGTTTTATGTCCAGTAAAGCCCGAAGTTTTGTTTAATTTGTTCATTTTTACCCTTGTAGCCGGTTTCCAGGTAACCTACCGGTTACCTAGGTTACCTAATGCCAGTAAAGCCCTTGAATTTTCAAAAATGTTTGGATTTACCCTTAAGTTTTTCAAAAATGTTCGGATTTACCCTTACTTTGATTTTTATTTTGATTATTATTATTATTATTATTATTATTATTATTACATTTTTAATTGTATAAAAATATTTTTTACATACATTTTTAAATGAATAAAATTTTTCATACGTTTTTAATATATTTTTATACATATTATTATTATTATTATTATTATTATTATTATTATTATTATTATTATTATTATTTTTAATACATTTTTAAATGTATAAAAATATTTTATACACACATTTTTAAAAATGTATTTATTTGTATTTAGTAGGTATAAGTATAAATATATATTTATTTCATATAAAAATATATTATATACATACAAATATAAAAATACATATTTATATGGTTTATATTATATAAAAGATATAATTATATGTATTTGTACATATTACCAAGTATAAATATGTATTATTTATCAAACATCATACTAAATAGATAAGCAAAATAAATATTCGTTAATTAAAAACATAACGTAACAATTATAAAACCCTCGTAATTAGAAAACCTCAATAAAAACACTCGATTATAGATAAGATTTAGTATAAAATTTGAAAAAACCTCTATTATTCAACTATATTAGGTTAATAGTGAGTAGATAACAATAAATGATCAACAAATAATACTCGTAAATGGAAAATACATAATATAATTAAAAAAACCCTCGACAAAAACACTTGATTACTGTAAAAATTAAGTATTATCAACTTAAAATCATTCATTAACTATTTTTATCTCAAAAATTGATAACGAAATGTCAAATACGAGTGTAAACTTCATTTATGTTTGTTGTAAGTTCACAAAAAAAATATCACGAAATGCATCATTTTTTATATTGATCTGAAGCATTTGTTTTTGCAAAATCAGTCATTGACGACATTTTTTACTTTATTAAGCTTTTTCTGTTCGATTCAACAATTATAGATGAAGATTTAGGGTTTTCAAATATATATAAATACTAAATACAAGTACATATATTTTTTAAAATATATTTATATTAGTAAAAATATTTTTATACATTTAAAAATGTGTGTATAAAATATTTTTATACATTTAAAAATGTATGTATAAAACATTTTTATATAATTAAAAATGTAATAATAATAATAATAATAATAATAATAATAATAATAATAATAATAATAATAACAACAACACCAATCAATGTAAGGGTAAATCCGAACACTTTTGAAAAACTTAAGGGTAAATCCAAACATTTTTGAAAATTCAAGGGCTTTACTGGCATTAGGTAACCGGTAGGTTACCTGGAACCCGACTACAAGGGTAAAAATGAATAAATTAAACAAAACTTCGGGCTTTACTGGACATAAAACACGTCCAAGGGTAAAACCGACATTTTTGTGAAAACTTAAGGGCTTTTATGTCATTTTCCTTATAATGTATGGTGTAGCTAACCTTATAAAGTACATTGTTATTACAAGTTGTGACGCTTTTGAAAGAGAATGTCATATTGTTAACTCTTACACCTAGTTCCCGAGTTTTACTAAAGTAAAGAAAAGAAAGGAAAGGAAAATATTTAAAGAAAAAAAATAAGGGGGAGGAAAGGAATAACTACTTTCGTGTTCTCAAGTTTGAAGGAGATAAAAGGAAAAAAAATTGTGTTTGTTTCACATGATTCAACATTCAAGTTCAGGTTTAGTTTCATCTCCATCTTCATATACAAGTATACAACTTTATTTATTTATTTATTTATTTTTACTCTTTCGCACTTGAATGCAATTCTTGATAAATTTCATCACCAGTACAGTGATGAAGGTAATAAGCTCGTTCAAAATTTTTGTTACCTTCCCTCATAATATTAGTAACGTCACCAACAACATTCATAATATTTGTTTCAAATGATTCAGTTTTAGGTTCAGCTTCATCTCCAATCTTCATATACAATTTTTTTTTTTACTATTTTACCTTTTCACACTTTAATTTTTTTCAGGTGAAAAACATGTCGAATATACCACTTGAATTTCATTTTCATCATCATCTATCTGTTGGTCCTCAGTGTAGCATCATTACTTGCTAATAGCTCATCAACTTATGTAATACATTCTATTTTGATGTTCACAATCTTGCTTAATTGGACATTTTTCTCATTTGTTGTTCCAGCATGTGCTCCCGAAGCTCTATCTCTCGCAGATAACACCAACATTTAATCGTAGTTGGCCACCTTTTTGTCTTCAATATAACTGCCTCAGGCTTTGATTGTTTAACAAACTCAAAATACAATTAAAATTGTGAATAATAACATAAATATATAACAAAGTAAAATGCAAGACCTCGAACACTTACATTAATTAAGTGATCCCACACTTAATCATTTCCTTCAATTAGTTGGATTTGAGAATTCCAAGCGAACCCACTCCATGAAGTTCCACGAAACATATCATACCATTGCAAAAAAGAAGCATTCAAACTTTTCAAATGGTTTTTTAGATTATTTTTAGTTGGATTCATTTGAAGTTTCCCATTAAGCTCATCCACCATATTCGCATATGCTTGTGTAGTAAATGTTCCATTAATACTATTTCCTTTTTATTGTTGTTCTGTCATGGCATTAATAAAAGTAGAATCCGTGATATATGTTCAACTCATGTGTAAGGTCGCACCTTATGATTTGGTGAGTCAAACACTCTATACGTTAACCGCCAACACCAGTGCAAACATCAGCGCCAACATCTCAAGACATTATCAGCGTCAGCATGAAGATCAGCGCCAACGTCTAGCTATATAATCTAATGTAATTTTTGTATATTATGTAATTATATATATATATATATATATATATATATAGCAGATCCGATAACCTTGTGATAAGGATCAGTTCTTAGTATAGATTAGATATAATCTCTTCAATTAAGGGATATACTAGTATAGATTAGTATATATACAACATTAAGGTGAAACCCTAATGTCAACTGTTTTCTTGGTGAAAACAAATCTTTTCTTGGTGAAAGACAATTTGGTGTATATTTCATGTTCTTTACTTTTTCTGTTTTTTATTTGCTTAGTTAGTTTGTTATTGTTTATTATACTTGAAGTGTATTCGATCGATACAATCCTTCAAGTAGTATCAGAGCAGGTTTTTGATACACTCAAGTAATCATGTCGACTTCCTATAATCCTAAATCAACTACTTGCAACAAGATTCCTCTGTTTGATGAACTCAATTTCACTGCTTGGAAATCAAAGGCCATGGATGTTCATGAGATCATGGACTTTGACATGCTCGATGTAACGACCCAATTTTCAAAAGAAAATTTTTATTTTTAATTATCCAAAATACATGTTCATCATCCACAAAAACCAGTTACAATTGTTTTCAAAACCATGTCAAGTACAACTTTATTTCAAAGATCAGAGTGTCCCATAAAATGTCCGAGTGAGAGTGCACGCCGCGCCATCAAGCCTTGCCCTTGCCCTTGGGCTCAAAGGTACCTGAAACAAATCCACAAACTGTAAGCTAATGCTTAGTGAGTTCCCCAGAGCATACCGCACACAAACCACATACAACATATCATACTAGCTATAACAGCTACACATATCACATAAGCCATGCATACAACAGATACGGATGCTGTAGGCTCCTCCTCAGGGTCTTACTCCAGGATGTCATGGGCTCCCCACATGGTCTTACACCTAAGTGTCATGGGCTCTCTCATGGTCTTTGTTAGGAAATCCATGGGCTCTCCACATGGTCTTATATCCAAGTGTCATAGGCTCTCCCATGGTCTTCCATACAACATACCACATATACCAATAGCATACTTCCTAGCTCATACTAACTAACATAGCACACAATACAATCTCAGCTAGGATACTACACATCATAAAATGGGTCGCCCTTGGTGCCTTAGACCCATTGGTATGGTGAGTAGACTCACCTCTGTTTGAAGAATCCGAAAGTTGCTCTCCTAACAGTCAGTAACCACCTGCACTGAACAATGATAGCATTACTTAATGTTAGGATCAAACCCCATCTAAGTGGAGAGCCCAAGTCCCCAAGTCCCTCCCAAATGGCCCATAAAGTCTTCCTTAGCTAATGGGCCCAAAGTCCATATCCAATAATCATTAATGGGCCTAAAGGCCCAATAAGGCCCAACCATATCATCCATGGCCCAAAATAGATAAACTGACCCTCTAACCCCAAAATGTGACCAGGCCTAATGACTAATTGAGGCCCAAAGGCTCAAAGGCCCAAAACGAATCCAAGTCCAACTGTTGTGCGTACGCTTAGCATACCACCCTGATACGCGCAACGTATTGAGTCCTTGAGCAGTACGTGCGGCATACAATAACTTATGCCCAGCGTACAAATAGATTAAGCTCTTCCTTCCATTAACTGCTTAATACTTGATGTTCTTACGTCCAAAACTAGATCTGAGCTCATTAAGACGTCCTAGGGCATAAAGTTGGCAACTTTATGCCCTTGCATGCTCTATGGGGACTTAAAAACTTCATTCCTCACATTGGGAGTTTCTTTAAGGCTCCAACTCTTGCATG